ATCAACTGCACTTCAAATAATCTGAAGTGTTTGAAATATTGCATAAGGGAATGATTTTTTCGAATTTTGAAGATTTTAGAATGTGAAAGTCAAAGTGTAATGAGTTAGAGCAATATGCAACAAAATAACTAGTTAGGAACACAAAAAAATCTTTAAAACTGAAATCCACTGTAGCGCAAATCTACTACTGTTTCAATGTTAGATCTATGAATATCTAAAATGTAAAGTAGAAATGAGATTTAAAGTCATAACCGTAAATAATTATGATATGTATATATTTGAAAAAAAAAATCAAGCGATGAGAAGTTATTATACAATATATATTCCCGGTTAATTTCTACATAAAAAACAAAGTCCAGTTCATTAAGATAAACAAATATATATATATATATATATAGAAAACAGCAGGTTAGATAAGCCTTAATAGGAGAAGCAAATGGTTGTGAATATAAGAAAGTTTTGGAATACCCCGTATCGTCAGTGCACCTTTCTGATTAATTTGTTTCCTGTGGCTCTTTCCTTCACTAAACATGAAATTGAAACCTCTATGATTTTGCTCATCACATGGGTTCTAGTGATTCTTTGGCAAATACCCATAACTTAGGGACAGAGGACCTGGCCTAGGCCAATGGCGAATGACGTAATCGTCAGTGTGGTGATCTGCTAAACCGACGAAACATGCGAGGACTTTCATGACCATTCTGACGCACCCGGCTCATGGCCAATGGATGGGCGAACGTCGTATGCAGTCAAAAGAGATCCCAACGAGTGAAGGTGACATGCATGACAAGACAACAGAAGGAAAAGCACAGAATTTAGTTACTTCCTCTGCGGCCACAGGGAATGCAAATCTGCCCGCGGTCCTATGTTACAGAGATAAACCATTCGCTAGGGTGGGCCTACAAGACCTTTGGCATAATTTATTCTAGATTTCTATCGTCTGGACCAATCGCTGCAAATGCCTCTTTTATCATCTTCGAAGCTCGTTTTTGGCAATCAACATCGAGCCTGATACAAAGAGTTTCACGTTCCATCAGACGCATAATTCTACTATTTACTCGAATGACGTCACAGGATTACACAACAAGAAGCTCTAGTCTGCCTACAGTTCAAGCGGAGTTGGGAATTCCATTCCTTAGAGGTTATGACTTTCAGTCGTGAAAAGGATGCGAAAACGTCAAAAGTGAGGATATGGAGCGGCTCATAGGAAGCCGGAAAAGGATGCGAAAACGTCAAAAGTGAGGATATGGAGCGGCTCATAGGAAGCCGGGATTGGTTGCAAGCGAGTGAGGGGAAGATTCGAGAATTCGAACGGTCGAAGCGAAGTCTGATTGTGGAACAAAGAACCGTTGATCCAACTCTGAACCTCACATGAGAATCTGTTCGCTTGCAGTTGGAGCCAATAGCCTGATAGACCTGAGTTGGAAGCAAATGGGTCGGGTTTGTCCAGTAGATATGGGTCTCCTTGCTCGCTATCATGGCCCGCTCATGAAGATGGAATGAGCACGTGGTCCCGCCTGCTCCAATTTACACTTGGCCCTTTGGCATGATATTTGCGATGGCAGTTGAACCCATCGACTGCCACGCTACAACTTGTTTTTGCCATGTTCATCTCCTTCTGTGCCCATATGGACACTCGAATGTATCCACTCGAACCCTGGACTTCACCCTGAATTATCGCTTTAATTTGCATGCGTATTGGGCACACCTCTTCACATAAAGAGTGGAACAGAATCGACGCCAGTTTTCGTTTTGGCATCAATGCCTTCAGAGTCCGAGATTTTGGCATTTTTCATATGCGTGATTAGTGTAATGAGCTGCTCAGTGATACAATCAAACTTGCAGAACTGGAGATGGCAAATCCGGACAACAAGCAATAGTGTGGAGGGAGTACGAGGAAAGATCTTGCTAAGGTTGCCTTCCGGTTCATATACAGATCAATGTTTGTTCTTTCGAGTGCAGTATTTGGTCCGTCCGGACGGACGGGTGACGGAACCGTCGCAGCGCAATGACTCTTACCTCAAACTTACCGGACGATTAGGAAATAAACCCATAAGTTTAAGACTGAACGGAGATTAGAGAAAAATACGTCGTTCATGCCATCACATCGATGCATGGATTGTCACGAGCTGTACAGCTGCACGTAGTGTTCCCCGTATGCTACTTCCTCCTCGAGAAAAAAATCCTTCCTCCGGTCATGTAGAGGGCCATCATCTTGGCAGGCCAGCCCAAGTGCAGGTCCGGGATTTCATTGTACCGTACAGTGATCAAAATGTCTATCGGCTAGCCCTAGTGCTGTGAAAACTAGAATGCAAGGCAGAGTACGTTTGATAGAAAAAACTTCAGATGTCGTGAATTCCAAGAACCTGCGCATGTTCAAGTTGTCGTTTCGAAACTCGGAGATATCTTGATTACATATTTTCAGTGCATGTGCATTCTCGTGTTTAAGACAAACTCAAACTCTGTAGTTTCCTCCATCATGAAACAAGTTTGATGCTTGTTGATACGAGTATGTTTCCATGCTTGTGCATGTTCAAGTTCTCACGTTGTCGTTTAGAAACTCGGGGATATCTTGATTACATATTTTCAGTGCATGTGCATTCTCGTGTTTAAGACAAACTCAAACTCTGTAGTTTCTTCCATCATGAAACAAGTTTGATGCTTGTTGCTACGAGTATGTTTCGGTCCGGCCGTCTTATGTTTGTTTCTTTTCTTCAAAAGCGGGTCTGTTTCGTACGTACATTTGCACATCCTTTCACGCATCGGTGTTTGCTTTCTGCAATTGTTTTTCCGGCATACTCGAAGGATTTTTTCTAGTAGACGTTTCTATACTAACAATAAATAAGGACTGAAGGTTTACAATTTTTTTTTTCCATAACTCAGAAACGGTTTTACATTGCCGAGCAGTCGAAGTGTGAATGAAGATAGTGTACTTATATGAGAGAAATGTTCGGGTTTCAGAGTGGATCCAAGAATATCTAACAAGGTAAACACAATTTATCGACATTTTTGCATGACCCCTCTTACTCTCACACTTTGGAAGATGAAAGAGGGCCTGTCCAGCATGAAAACTGCATCACTGAGATTGAAGATGTCTTGAGCCTACAAACATTCGATGAATATCATGTACCTGAGTTGAACGTAATTATAATATAGGTTTGCTAAGTCTCTTTTCAAAAAACCTAAAACCTTACTAACCCCGCAATCTAAACATGACTGTCACGAATCAGTTGTGCATGTAGAATGTGGAACGGGAGCGGGAAAAGTTTATATGACATCTTTCCAGTTGCTACAATACGCCATATCCATCTCAGCATTCATACAGGATTGCAGAAGTATGTGAATCTGAATCATACATATAGATCAGGTGCCGCTTAAAAAAAGTTCATAGTTTTGCACAGCAATATACGTTTTACAAGAATGTAATGAAGAATTACAAGAATGTGATGAAGCTAGGAACATTCCTAGCTTCATCACATCAGGATCTACAGCTAGAACTTTTGGCCGAATCTTCTTCTAGAATACATGCTCTCACACATCCTTTTCTATTTCCACAGCTATCCCGTGACATTTAGCTACATGTATCCACAATTTTCTGTGAATCTTTTCCACTCTCGATTCTATATTGTCGCCATCGCTAGCAGGCAAACAGTATATCTTTGATGGCAATTTAGCAATATCTACAATACTTTGAGCAAAACTTACAAGGAACGAATTCCAGACGCTGGTCTGGAATTCGTGAAGGAGACTAGAGTATTGCACCCTCCTCAGCGTCAGTCATTCTTGCTCCTTGCACTGTCTTGATTCTACTGAGATGGTGATGAACGGGAGGCCCTTCGAGCTCTGGCCAAGTTTCTGGTAACTGTGGTTGTGGAAGTCGAGTGTGGAGGAGATCGGTGGGATTTAATTACTCTCAGATTGTTTCCGTTGCTGGGAGACTCTATTTTGTTGGCGACATCCAGGTACTGTTTTGAACGGGAGTGAAGATGATTCCTCTTCTCTACAATCAGATGGTTGCCATCGCTTGGACCTCCTGGCCTGGCTAGCATGCTGAGAATCTCACTGTCAGTAGCGAAAATATTTCGACGGCCAGAAGACGGAGTAGATGACGACGACAAAACTGTGTTCGCAAGAACATTGTTATCTGTTAAAATCCTTCGAGTGTATTCCGATGGCAGCTTGTTGTTCAGCAGTTCGTTGTCTTTCTCGAGAGAAGGAGGCGTTCGTTCCAAATTTGCACCTTCTAAACCCATATCTCTATCTGCAGCCCCGGAATAGAGCTGATTCAGATCTAGTCCAGTGTGCAAAGACCATGAGCTGAGAAAAGCGGCCGTTGGAAGTAGGGACTCAGTGTATCCTCCACATAGACCTCCCGACTGCTGAAGCTGCTCCTGCGGTAGAAGCCGGGACTCACTACTAGGAATTACAACTAGAAGCAAAAGCAGAAGTAAGACAAACCAATGTGACAGCTGAAGCATCATCTTGAGGAGGGCAGTTGACTGTCCACCACAGAGGTCTGCAGTCTCGACCTCAAATGTTCAGACCAAAAGCGTGGGCGTAGACTGAAAACAGAAGAAGATTGCTTCCTTGGAGACTTGCTTCAAGAATTTGAGCAGCTCTTGTGGCTAGTAACATGCACTACGTCGCTAGCTCAGAGGCTGAATTCGAAGTCCAGGAACTTCAAAAGCCACTAGATACAGCATCTGTCGAATGTCGATCTTGCAGGTACGAGATAACTGGTGCTAAGACGGGCTATTTGTACGGGTTCTTGACCAAGATCTAAAAGTCATGAATGTCAACGGTGATTCCAATTGGACGAGAATTTCATTCCATTGCCCCAACTAGCTCCAACCTAATATTCCCTGTTCGTGTCCTGCACATTGCTGCCCATTTGGCATTGCAATCTTACTTCGAATCATAGGTATCTACTAAGAAAATTAAACCCAGAACTGATCGTGGAAGATCCACTGCTGTCTCCGATTACGAGTAAATGAAATGTTGTCTCTCGGTCGCCCGACACCATCCCCAGATCTAGAGTCTGTTAGTCCAGTGTAAGGCTACGTAGAGCTGTCTGGGTCTGAAATGATTGCATGACCGAAAATGGCAATTCCATTTCAGAGGCCATCGAAAATACTGGAGATCCATGCAAAGGGTGTGAAAGTACTCTGAGACTTAAAAGTACCCCTGCAGCCATTCACGTGAGCACAAGACAACAACAGTTAAGTACCAGTAGCAAAGAGCCCTGTGATGCAGATATCTTCCTTGTTTGTGAGGCCACTACAGCGACATTCATCCCTCCAATGGGCGGTAGGTCAACGTCGAGGAGCTGAGCAACGTGAACAGAATTGGAAGGAGATTTGTCGGAACGGACATGAAATAACGAATGAAATGAGAGCCCTGGTTTCAAACCAAATTCCAGGATCACGGAGGGAAGTCTGAATGAGTTGCAGGAAGAAACTTACAGCTGATGAGAAAGTGAATATGGAAATGAATATTCCTCGTTATTACCGTGATCTTGTTCTGAATTCAAATCTCGCTTTAACGAACATGTAGCGACCATGTTCGCTTGCTTGAGATCGTTCAGAATGAGACAGAATGCACTTGAGGCGCTGTAAGGGAATCTTCGAATCTCGCTTGCAGGTTTCAGATTCAGCCAGTGCCGACCACGAGAACAAATATCAGCTTCATGTGGCCCCCTTTTGTCCTGCCTGCGCTGACCCCCCAGTCGAACTCGTGGCTCACATGGTGCACTACAAACCTGTAATGTACAAGATCCACAGATTTCATCTTGCAGTTGACATCCCAACGTTGTGTACCGAGACCTATGGCCTGGCATGAGAGTTTACCGGCGGAGATCTTCGGTATTTGGCCCGATTTGTTCTCGAGATAAAGTTGGCATCATTCCATTGGCGTCAGAATTGCGTCTATCAGACACCCTCTATTCAATTCATGCGTTGCGAACGCCCCCTCTCGCTCTGTCAACGTGTTATGCAGCTGGCAGTTCGCAACACCAATGTACTTGCACGTGAGTGAGGCGATGATGTCGACGATGGGTCTGCACCAGGATTCCGTCGTAAGGATGGAATTGTGCACGCTCGATGTGGGAGTTTACCTGCAAGTCGGTCATTCACATCGTTGTGGTGGGTACCTCAGTTGTGACCTGATCTGCCTGATGCATTATTTGCTGGATTCCTCGAAGCATCCATCTCATGGGTTTTTTTGAAGAATGTAAGCTTCTGCAAAAGACGATATGACAGGATATGGTAGTCAGCTTTCGAAACTATCTATACCATGATATATCTAGTACGGTATATTTATAACTTCGTCGTGCATAATGTTCAATTTGTGACTCCACGCGTGATGATCACTGAATTGCGTAATTGTTGTGCCCTGTATGTGATAGCCAATGAGACTCAACGTTGGCATGGTCGTGGATCAAATGGAACATCTCTTCTCCATCATTTGTGAAAATCTAATCAGGGGCATCGACATCGTTCGATAATGTGATGGTTTGTCAACAGTTTACTACGTTAAAAATGGGCGATACGAATATGACATGCCCTTCCTGCAATTTTAAATCACATCAGAGAAAACAAGTACTGAAATCTGCTGCAGCTGGCAGTCGCCAAAATTACATTTTTACAAGGGGCCGATTATCACGTTTGGTTCAATACGGCAGCCTCATCAGAAATTCAGCGCCTTGGTTTCCGTTTATTCCATAATTCTTGTGAATGTCAATTAAGGGTACCAGAATGTAGCCATGGTAGACGAACAGGGTACTTCGCTGTCTTTCCTCCTTCTCGAAAGATGCCTGTGTGAACGAATGTAGAACGGATCGAGAACAATAATTGAAAGTTGTCTACAATGGACCATCACGGACAATGCTGGCTAGCAGTTAATTCAATGTGACGAAAATTAGCTCTGAAATGTCTCGTAAACACTTAATCAAGATGAGAATTGGTTTTGCTCTGTTTGATGTCTATTCTTTCCTCGATATATATGTGAAGTTCATTTTTAGAAATTCAAATAAACAGACTTAGTATTCGTACTGTGTTTATTGACATGCGGATACAACTTTAAACTAGTTAAAATTCATCACATCAAACTAGTTCAAAATCTCTTAAACATAAAATACGAGCACAATAAAATATTGGAAAAATAAAGGTTTCTCTTTCCTTCTCCCTAATACTTTGTAATGTGGACAAAGTTTTTAACATTTATTTCTGCAAGAAAAATACATTTTTCAAAAGATTAGTTGCCCAAACGATGTATCTTACAAGCTATTAAATGTATTGAAAGCAAAACATTAGTCTTTTCTCCAATGTGAATTGCTAATCATTTAAGTCTACCAATTATCACTGTCCTTACTATAAAATTGCAAGAGTACAACATACTAGCTCCTCGAGTATGGAAAAATCTCAAGTAAATATTTGAAGCAAAACTAAACGTGTGACAGATTTCACTTGATTTTCAAGCAATCTTTCATTCCAAACTTTCATCCGTGATTATGTTTACGAAATACTAAAGAATACTCTTTTCTAATACATGAAGTTTTGCACTCTGAAAACATGCTTCTATAAAAAAGTCATAAAGGCATAAAAAAGGCAGGCATAAAAAACTGAGAGTTGGAAGGAGATTTCCGAACATGCCTGCAAAGTTTGAGACTAAGAGTAACGGGTGTCAAGAAGTTGTCAATTCAGAGCTTTGAGTTTAGGTGTTGGAGCACGGATCTTGCAGTAACTATATCTTTGTGTTGGAATGTCAACTGGAGCTGAAATTTGATGAGGTTGTTGACGTTGGCGGAGCGCACATGCTTGCAAAATTTGAGCCTCAACAGACTTGAATTTAAGAAATTATCAATTGGAGCTTTGAGTTTGTGTAAAACCTTGCAAAATTGAGTTAATGATGGATTCTGAAAACAAGCTACTCAATCTTGTGCAAACGGTTTTGGAGTAATTGAAAATGTTTCGCCAAGAATTCAAGTTACAAAATGCTGACTTGATTGCTGCAAAGAATAAAATCCGAAAGTTGAAAATTTCTCACAAAAGTTTTGAGAATATCATGCTTGAAGTCTCTAGATCTCGATCTGTTGAGTACATCCAAGAGAAGGTTGGTTCTCAATCTTCTACTGTTGCTACTCCTAGTTTACATGAAATGGTTGAAAGTCTAGAGACGAAAATGAAATCTTATGCTAAAGCTATAAAGTCTGCTCATATCTCTTTCTGTCAAGAGGAAGAAATTGAAAAGACTAATAAATTTGCTCGTAAAAGAATATGAGAAGTTCAGGTCTACCTGAATCTGAGAAGAAAAGGTTGAAAAGTGTTTCTTAGCCGCGGTGGTCACATTATAGCACTCCGTTTGGACCAAGATCAACAATTCTCAAACCTAAAAGATTTTGAATACCATTGGAGTCATTGAAGGTTGTATGCTCTCTCCTACTTTCTTTGGAGTTTTCATAGATGATGTAGAAAGGTGGTTAGAGGATTGTTACAGTGAAGGTGTCAAACTTGGAGTCTTTGTCATCAAAGCTTTTTTGTAGATAGACGATGTCATATTACTAGCACGTGATGCCATTAGTTTATAGAAACATCTTGACACTTTTGCTAGCTTTTGTACTCAAAATTAGATGAAGGTTAACTTTGAGAAGTCCAAAGTCATTCTTGTGAGCACTAGATCGAAGCTTTCTTTCTTTTACAAAGTATTAGAATTGAAACAAGTAAAGATTTACAAATATTTAGGCATTGATTTCTACTACAATTATAGTTGGGCACTTTGTGTACAAAAGAGTGTAGAAGCTTGTTTCAAAGCTCTATATTCATTGCTAATTAGATGTAGAGGAGCTCATCTAGTGTTTTGGAGTCTTAGTATATTCTTATTCATGAGGTTAGTGTTTCTCGTTATCTTGGTTGTAAGCGGACAGTTTGGCAGCGTTTGGAGAGGGTGCAAAAAATCTTCTTACAAGAAGAATTGAATGTGAGGACCAAAACTTCATATGCTATTCTTCTTGCGTAAATAGGTTGTCTAACTCTTGAGGCTTAAGCTCTCTTTTTGACTATCACTTACGTCAAAAGAGTGAGATTCTTGACGCTTCTTGACTTCCTTTAAAGCTTTGCGTGCCACACGTCCCAAGGGATGATTTGCAGATGTGGTGACTTGGTTTTTGAGATGGAATGTGACGGAACTCGATTGGAATTTGCAACCTATTGCCCTACGCGAGCGTATCAAGGAGTAATTTCTCAGCATTATTTGGAGCAAACGAGACATTAAAATGAAGTTTTATCAACTTCATGTGAATCCTATGCTTGTTTATTGTGAGCAAATATAACTACTTGTGGAGATTTCTACTTCTTTATGTCATATTATTGCTAGGCATAGAACATGATCTCATAGTGTTGGGATTGAAAAAGTGCGTTGGTTTCAACCAACGCCCTTTTTCAATCCCATTGATAGAAATGAACGTATTTGGAGAACAAGTTTTTTTTACTTGTACTACATATGTAGAGATTAGAGTGGCTCATAAAGTTATTGTTGAGAATTTTTATTCTTTGCTTCAGCATGAGCTTTATGATTTAGGTTGTTACATTAGAGATGTTATTAGTTATCGTTCTAGTGCTCTTGGCACTAGCTAGGGGATTCTTTTAGTTCACTTCCTAGCTTGGAGTTGGATTGTTTGTATTGTGTTTTTCAGCCTTTTGACCCTATGGGTCCCACGGGCTTGGTGTAATAACCCACTAAAGGCTAAAACTGCAATATAGTGGTAGAAAGGTCGAACCCACAGGGACAGAGGAACACACAGGGTACAAAGTGTCACGTTTAACAGACTATTGATGAGTTTGAATTCTCAGGCGACTGTCACTCCCAAAAATACTGCAAGTGTCCACTCGGAGCGCACTCGGAGGTTGCACAGTGCAGCGTACACACACACACACACACACACCTGAAACTACAGAAACACAACCCAGAGATCCGTTAGGACCTCTACTCAAGATTTCAGGGGGGAAGTCTCTCAAGAGTACACTCAGCGAAGCTGCGGGTAGTGACTTCCAACTCCGGCTTTTACAACGCTTCCACTAGCTTGCTACTAGCGTAGGAAACCCGGTTTGGACTGCCTACTTCGGATCGAAGTCATTCATACGCGGTGAACAACACTCTCAACTCACAAAACGCGCAGAGAACACAGGTCCGCGCTGAAGGACTCACTGTGAAACATTCCAGTAACACAACAACAGTCTATTGAAGAGTTTGAATTCTCAGGCACTTGTCATTCCCAGAAATACTACAGGGGTTACCCTCAAGGCACCTGCTGCAGCGTAACCTGAATTTACAACCAAGGCTTACACGAAGTAGCAAAACTTCACTTTGGCATTCAGGGGAAAAATCCCAAGGGAGTACAATTAGAAAGGAACACTCGAAGGTGTAGGGGCGAAACTGTTCAAGTATCTAACTAGTCACTGGCTCTGAGCATCGGCAGTCACCCGCAGGTGCAGATCCGAACTACTCAAGTCTCTAACCAATGTACTAGCTCTGAACATTCGGCCGAAGGCCTTCAGCTACAAAATGCGGAACGCTAAGTTGTAACTCCTCGTGCGTGGTGACAGAACTCAAGGACACAAACACGCAAAGGAAATGGGTTCCTGATCTGCACTTCTGATGGGAAAGAACCCCAGGCAAAACGCATGGAACTATTTTATACCTTCTAAGTCCTAACTAGCACTACACTGCACTACGCTACACGCCTGCACGGAACCACGCTACACTACACTCCGCGGAACCTGTACTACGTCTCCTGCGCGGCGGACTGCCGCGCACTAACTCCCTACCCTGCCAATCTTCCGCTCGACTGCGCAGTCCCAAACGCTGCAACGCCGCGGACACCTCCCCTTCGAGGGCGGACATGGTATCCTGCGCCCTCGACAGAAAAGCATCGAGCTTCTTTGCTACCTTCCGCCGACTCCTACTGTCGCCTGACAACAACCCGGCTGCGCGCAATTCAAACTCACGCAGTGTGAGTTTCTCCTGCGCCTTCACTTCCCAGTGGGCGTAGCCCTTGAGACAGTGGGCGACACGCCTCGCCGTCTCCACCTTCGTGCGATCCGCCTCCTTCCTGCGATCCTCTTCAATTATCACTAATTGCGATTCGGCCTCAGCACGTTGCGCTCTCAATTCGCCACACTCTGACTGTAACCTGCGGATTAACTCCTCATCCGCCTGCTGTGCGAGCTGACATTGTTCCAACAACCGCGTCTGTCGCACGAGCTCCTCTGACAAAATCCGATTCTGGGCCTGCTCAGAAATAAGTGCTTCCTTGACCTTCACCTGCTCCTTGGTGAGCTCGTCCAGTTTCTCATCCTTCACCTTCTCGGAGTACTTGTAGAATTTCTGATTAAGTTTATACTGACCCCACAAGCATGCATGCTTCTCCTTCAATTCTCTCAACTCATGGTCCACTCTAGCTAACAGCTTGCTGGTGTGGACTTTAGTGCGAGTCCGCCTGCGCACTAACTCGATGTAAGATCCCGGCTGAAGTGGGACGGCGTATTTATCGACCTTGCGATCCAAGTACCTCAGCAACGGAATCACCTGCTCAGAGAGCGCCGCCGCCGGCGCTCCAACAATTTCCTCCTCCTCCTCCTCGGTGTCCTCTGCTCCTGACATTTCTTCGGTGGAGCCTCCGTCGTCATCATCTGAGTGGAGAATTTCAGTCGCCATTGATTGCGTCGGCGACTGCCCCGAGTGGGGCTGCACGTCGTCGACGTGTGCTGCCTGCGAAGGCACGGCTGCAGCCTCGCTGCTCTTCGCCAAAATGTCTAAGGCGGTAGGCGAATGTGCCCGTGCGGCATCCCCGCCGCTCGCTTGTTGGTCGTCTACCGTGTCCTCTCTGCCGCCGACGCCCGCCGCCGAAGGCGATCGAGCGGAGGGTGGCTGCGCGGGG